CGAGTGTAGTTTTAGGTGTAGTCGAGTGTAGTTTTAGGTGTAGTCGAGTGTAGTTTTAGGTGTAGTCGGGTGTAGTTTTAGGTGTAGTCGGGTGTAGTTTTAGGTGTAGTTGGGTGTAGTTTTAGGTGTAGTCGAGTGTAGTTTTAGGTGTAGTCGAGTGTAGTTTTGTAGTCGAGTGTAGTTTTAGTGTAGTCGAGTTAGGTGTAGTCGAGTGTATTTTAGGTTAGTCGAGTGTAGTTTTAGGTGTAGTCGAGTGTAGTTTTAGGTGTAGTCGGGTGTAGTTTTAGGTGTAGTCGGGTGTAGTTTTAGGTGTAGTCGGGTGTAGTTTTAGGTGTAGTTGGGTGTAGTTTTCACCTTGGTGAGGATAATAAAAGCCTCAGGGTCGAGCACATAAACTTCACTGGACTCTGTCCCGATCACTAAACAGCTCACACCGTCCTCGTCTGCAGTGCTCTTCTTCAGAGTCCCCATGCACGTGATCACTGTCTGAAACACGTAAACAACATATATAACATTTATAAAACATGTATATAACATGTATAACATATATAACATGTATATAACTACTATATATGATTTTTCATGCATAGATGTTACTTCATAAAGACAAAAAAACATTAAATGAGAGGATGTGTCCAGAACAGGGTCTCCTGATTGGCTGTTGTGGTCTGTACCTGTCTCCTGATTGGCTGTTGTGGTCTGTACCTGTCTCCTGATTGGCTGTCCCTGGTGCAGCGTCACAAACTCGTCCATGTTCTCTGGTTCTAGGGAGAGGAACCGGAGGGAACGCTGGGACAGAGGCAGCTCCGATTTACTCCTGATGCCCTCCAGAAGGTCCTTCAGAGCCAGAGGGTCGATCTGCCCGGAGCGCACCTGCTGCCACACCTCCTGCAGCCAATCAGAGGACAGTCCTGGTTCAGTCCTGGTTCAGTTCCGGTTCAGTTCCGGTTCAGTCCTGGTTTAGCTTTAGTTTAGTCCTGGTTTAGTCCTGGTCCAGACCTGTTCCAATGGGTCCACCTCGAGTCCTGGGAGGGTGAACTTGAAGTACGGTCTGAGGTTCTTGTAGATGTAAACACAGGGTCCAGAGGCCACAGCCAGAGCAGGAACCCGAGGCTCGTTTAGGTCCATGAAGAAGGCCACCAGACCCGACGGGAGGTCCAGCAGGGAGGACTCACTCACCAGAGAGGTCCCACGGAACACCTGAGGAGACATGACCGAAACATCACCAAAATATCACCGAAACATCACCAAGACATCACTGAGGCATGACCGAAACATCACCAAGACATCACTGAAACATCACAGAGACATCACCGAAAAATCACCAAAACATCATAGAGACATCATCAAAACATCACCGAAACATCAACGAGACATCACTGAGACATGACCAAAACATCACCAAGTCATGACCGAGGCATGACCGAGGCATGACCGAACCATCACCGAAATATCACCGAGACATCACCGAGACACCACCGAGACATCACTGAAAAATCATCAAAACATCACCGAGACATGACCGAGACATCACCAAAAACTCACAGAACCATCACCGAAACATCACTGAGACATCACCAAGACATCATCGAAACATTACAGAGACATCACTGAAACATCACAGAAATAACACTGAGACATCACCGAGACATCACCAAAACATCACTGAGACATGACTGAGACATCACCAAAAAATCACAGAACCATCACCGAAACATCACAGAAACATCACCAAGACATCACCGAGACATCACCGAAACATGACTGAGACATCATTGAGACATCACAGAACCATCACCGAAACATCACTGAGACATCACCAAGACATCACCGAGACATCACTGAGACATCATCGAGACATCACAGAAACATCACAGAAACATCACCAAGACATCACCGAGACATCACCGAAACATGACTGAGACATCACCGAGACATCACTGAGACATCACCGAGACATGACTGAGACATCACTGAGACATCACCGAAACATCACTGAGACATCACCGAGACATCACCGAGACATCACTGAGACATCATCGAGACATCACAGAAACATCACCGAGACATCACCGAGACATCACCGAAACATCAATGAGACATCACCAAAAAATCACCGAAAAATCATCAAAACATCACCGAGACATCACCAAAACATCACTGAGACATGACCAAGACATCACCAAAAAATCACAGAAGCATCACAGAAACATCACTGAGACATCACCAAGACATCACCGAAACATCACAGAAACATCACAGAAACATCACTGAGACATCACCGAGAAAGCATCAGAGTATGACTAATCCACGTGAGATGTTTCTGCTCCGTGTGTGAGATGCTTCTGCTCCGTGTGTGAGATGTTTCTGCTCCATGTGAAATCTTTCTGCTCCATGTGTGATGTTTCTGCTCCATGTGTGTGATGTTTCTGCTCCGTGTGAGATGTTTCTGCTCCATGTGAGATGTTTCTGCTCCATGTGAGATGTTTTTGCTCCGTGTGTGTGATGTTTCTGCTCCATGTGAGATGTTTCTGGTCCGTGTGTGAGATGTTTCTGCTCCGTGTGAGATGTTTCTGGTCCGTGTGTGATGTTTCTGCTCCATGTGAGTTGTTTCTGCTCCGTGTGATGTTTCTGCTCCGTGTGTGTGATGTTTCTGCTCCGTGTGAGATTTCTGCTCCCTGGGTGAGATGTTTCTGCTACGCGTGTGAGATGTTTCTGCTCCATGTGAGATGTTTCTGCTCCATGTGAGATGTTTCTGCTCCATGTGAGATGTTTCTGCTCCGTGTGAGATGTTTCTGCTCCGTGTGTGAGATGTTTCTGCTCCATGTGAGATGTTTCTGCTCCGTGTGAGATGTTTCTGCTCCATGTGAGATGTTTCTGCTCCATGTGAGATGTTTTTGCTCCGTGTGTGTGATGTTTCTGCTCCATGTGAGATGTTTCTGCTCCGTGTGAGATGTTTCTGGTCCGTGTGTGAGATGTTTCTGCTCCCTGTGTGTGATGTTTCTGCTCCGTGTGTGTGATGTTTCTGCTCCGTGTGAGATGTTTCTGGTCCGTGTGTGATGTTTCTGCTCCATGTGAGATGTTTCTGCTCCGTGTGTGTGATGTTTCTGCTCCATGTGAGATGTTTCTGCTCCGTGTGAGATGTTTCTGGTCCGTGTGTGAGATGTTTCTGCTCCATGTGAGATGTTTCTGCTCCCTGTGTGTGATGTTTCTGCTCCGTGTGAGTTGTTTCTGCTCCGTGTGAGATGTTTCTGCTCCGTGTGTGTGATGTTTCTGCTCCGTGTGAGATGTTTCTGGTCCGTGTGTGAGATGTTTCTGCTCCCTGGGTGAGATGTTTCTGCTACGCGTGTGAGATGTTTCTGCTCCATGTGAGATGTTTCTGCTCCGTGTGAGATGTTTCTGCTCCCTGTGTGTGATGTTTCTGCTCCGTGTGAGTTGTTTCTGCTCCGTGTGAGATGTTTCTGCTCCGTGTGTGTGATGTTTCTGCTCCGTGTGTGTGATGTTTCTGCTCCGTGTGAGATGTTTCTGCTCCGTGTGAGATGTTTCTGGTCCGTGTGTGAGATGTTTCTGCTCCCTGGGTGAGATGTTTCTGCTACGCGTGTGAGATGTTTCTGCTCCATGTGAGATGTTTCTGCTCCGTGTGAGATGTTTCTGCTCCGTGTGAGATGTTTCTGCTCCGTGTGTGAGATGTTTCTGCTCCGTGTGTGAGATGTTTCTGCTCCATGTGAGATGTTTCTGCTCCGTGTGAGATGTTTCTGCTCCGTGTGAGATGTTTCTGCTCCGTGTGTGAGATGTTTCTGCTCCGTGTGTGAGATGTTTCTGCTCCGTGTGAGATGTTTTGGTACCTTGAGCTTCATCCCGGAGCCCAGGGACCCGCTGGAGGACGAGCCCAGATCAGCCACGACCAGACAGTTCTCCCCGTCCCCACTGAGGTCCGACAGGTCCATGCAGGAGGACAGAGTGTTCAGACCGGCCACGGGGTCAGAGTGGGCCTCCAGCCACGGACTCGGACCAGACTCTGACATCTCCACAACCTGAGGACCACAGAGAAGGTCAAAGAGGAGAAAGGAGAGAGGGAAAACTCAGAACTAAACCAGGACTGAACCAGGACTAAACCAGGACTAAACTAGGACTGAACCAGGACTAAACCAGAACTAAACCAAGTCTAAACCAGGTCTAAACCAGAAATAAATAAGAACTAAACTCAGGACTAAACCAGGTCTAAACCAGGACTAAACCAGGTCTAAATCAGAAATAAATAAGAACTAAACTCAGGACTAAACTCAGGACTAATCCAGGATTAAACCAGGACTAAAACAGGACAAAAACCAGAACTAAACCAGGTCTAAACCAGAAGTAAATAAGAACTAAATCAGGACTAAACCAGGATTAAACCAGGACTAAACCAGGACTGAACCAGGACTAAACCAGAACTAAACCAGGTCTAAAAACAGAAATAAATAAGAACCAAACTCAGGACTAAACCAGGATTAAACCAGGACTAAACCAGGACTGAACCAGGACTAAATCAGAAATAACTAAGAACTAAACTCAGGACTAAACCAGGACTAAAACAGGACTGAACCAGGATTAAACCAGGACTGAACCAGGGCTGAACCAGGACTGAACGAGAACTAAACCAAGTCTAAATCAGGACTAAACCCAAGACTAAGCAGGACCAATACAGAGCTGAATTAAGGCCAAAACCAAGAGACTAAACCAGGACTAAACCAGGTCTAAAACAGAACTGAACCAGGACTAAACAAGTCCACCCCGTTGATCCTGCGCTGTGGTAAATGAGCTTCAGAAAGAATGTACACATTAAACATTAAAACACAAGAAAATCGTGAGTAAATCGTGAGTAAATGTTGAGTAAATCGTGAGTTCGTTCCTGAACATCTGAATTAATCCCAAACGCGGCGCTTTGATGCTCTGTGTTTTCCGCTCTCACCGTTACCAAGGCAACGCGTCCGCTTCAGGAGCTCTTCCCGCGAAGGATTTGGTCTTTTGGACAGAATAAAATGTTTATTTCTGACCAATTCGGTTCAAATCATTTTAATAAACAGATACGTGTTCCGACGGAGGCCAGGTGTGGACGCTAGCGGCGCTGCGGAGAAAGATAATCCACAAAATCCACTAAATCCGACTTGATTCTGCCGTCAGCGCCAGGCACGGCTCACGGTGATGACGTCAACAAACGACGACGGCGCAGTTTTGTAGTTTTTAACTTTTTACAGTCTTTAATTAATCGATACTCTTGTGAGAATAATGCAACACTTTAAAGCAGAGATGATTTTGTGTTTTTAGACGTTAAATTATATAAGGTAAATGTTTTAATTATGCGGAATGAATCATGTGATCAAAACACGCAGATTTTACACAACACATCTTATAATTATTTATTGAAGATATTGTGTAGTGGCTGTGTTTAATTTTATGCGTTTATTAAAATCTAAAAAAGTTCTAATTCAGTCTGTTTTTGTTCTCGTCGGATGTGACGTAAGACGCAGCTCGCTCTGTGATTGGCCCGCGCGGTTCTCGCAGTTTAAAAAGAAGCCCGCCGCGGCGCTCACGAACGGCCCATGTTTTTACTTTTATTTGTCTGATTTTTGGGAATAAAACGCTCCACGGTGAGTCACAATCATGCAGCACTTTACCCACGTCCAAGGACACGTCTCTGTAAAAGTATTCACCGCGAAAAGTCTCGTAAAACGCCAGAATCAGACGAACATTTGAACCAGTGCTAACTGTGGCTAATGTTAACAACACGGTTTAAAGTTGGATTAAAGTTCCGTTTGTGTGAAATAAACTCACGATTTTCTCTCAGATGTTTATTACAATGATCCGGACGCGTGGGTTCAGCCTCTAGAACAGCCAACGTGTATCATTATTCTCTGTAAATGTTAAAACAGATGAACTAGGACCCTAAAGCCTTTTATTTGACTTGATTATGTCAAAATGTCTCAAAGTTACAAGAGTTTAGAGCGACCCGAGTTTAGAATAAAATTGTGGGTGTTTCGTAATAATAATAAAATAGTGAATCTGCACTCGGCTCATTCATGATGAACATGAGTCAGTATTTTCACATTTTCTCGTTTTTAAACAGATTTTCTGTATTTTGCCAAAACATGTCAGGTTATGTCTTTTTACTGTCGGCACTATCAGACTGGACAAAAACTATGATAGTCCTGGTTTAGTCCTGGTTTGTTTAGATCAGATTGGTCAACAAAAGGGACACCTGGGACATGTCTGGTATAAAACTGGGACAGATTAGTGGTTTTGTATAAATCTGCAGGGACACAGGGAACACTGGGGGGACACTGGGACTGTCCTGGGGACACAGGGACGTCTGGACTAGGGATGGGCATGATTAGTCGATTAATCGATAATTGATCATTAAGAATTTCATCAATTACGTAAATTTTAATCGACAAACCGAATGTAGGTTGCTGTGTGTAGTGTGACTAAACAGGTCTGTACATGTGTCTCTGCATCAGAAGGAGCGAGACACAAACAGTGGGTCAGTCTGTAACGTACCGAAGCACAAATGAGTATTTAACGATGACTTGTACAAGAAATTCCACACTTTCCGTTGCGTTGGGGACAAGTGTGAGTCTATGTGCACAGTGGATAAAGCAGCACATATGTTTCTGTGTCCAGTGGGAAAAAATTTTTCCAGGTGAGAGGCCCCGCTCCCCTCCCCCCGTACGGTGTCCTGGTTTTGACAAACGCAAATCTGGTCACACTAACCTGTATTCACCTGAGTCATGCCTTTTAATCCGACAGAAACTGACCGCATCAGCGACACAAGAGCTTAGTTTTATCTTCACTTAGTTTATGCAAATTAAATTTAATCGAATGCCCATCCCTAGTCTGGACTCTCTAGTCAAAAGTCCATTTAGGATTTTCCCTGGATGATTTGTGTTTATTATCGCTGTAACCAATCCAAATCTGTCGGGACGATATTATCACGATATTTCTTCATATTGTGTGCGCTGAAATGAATCATGGGAAATGTAGTTCCTGATGTTTATAAACTGTTGCTTCTATAATACCTGCATTTAAACAAAGGAACTTGTGATTGTAAATATTGTGACGCCCACGATATTATTGTGAGACTTTTGACGATACGACATCACCATATTTCAGTTCTTCTTACATCTCTGCTCTTTACTGTTGCAGCATCAGATTCGTCCAAAATAGACACACTGGGACATTTTTCTCTGTATAATTTGGGACAAGTCAGTGTTTATGTATAAATGTGCAGGGACAGGGGACGTGTGCATTTTAATGCTTCGTTTTTCACTTGTGACTTTTGGACTTTTGAAGTTTTATTTTGTCTTTTTTTTTTATTAAATATAAAAATGTATAAAAACCAAATGACTGGTTTATATGTGAGTAAAGTCCAGGCGTTTAGTTTCTGTGGAGATTTATTTACCTCTGCAGTGTGTGTGTGTGTGTGTGTGTGTGTGTAACAGTTGTGTGTTGTTGTGTAAAGATGGAGTGGTCTCTGTGTGTGTGTGTGTGTGTGTGTGTAATAGTTGTGTAACAGTTGTGTGTTGTTGTGTACAGTTGGAGTGGTCTGTGTGTGTGTGTGTGTGTGTGTGTGTGTAATAGTTGTGTAACAGTTGTGTGTTGTTGTGTACAGATGGAGTGGTCTCTGTGTGTGTGTGTGTGTAATAGTTGTGTAACAGTTGTGTGTTGTTGTGTACAGTTGGAGTGGTTTGTGTGTGTGTGTAATAGTTGTGTAACAGTTGTGTGTTGTTGTGTACAGATGGAGTGGTCTGTGTGTGTGTGTGTAATAGTTGTGTAACAGTTGTGTGTTGTTGTGTACAGATGGAGTGGTCTGTGTGTGTGTGTAATAGTTGTGTAACAGTTGTGTGTTGTTGTGTACAGATGGAGTGGTCTCTGGTGGGGAGGCCGGAGAGGGTGGGGCCAGTGGAGGTGGAGGACATAAGGAAAGACCTGCTCAGGGACTTCACTGCTCTGCCCACAAAGGTACTACACAAGTACTACACACTACTACACAGTAATACTCGGTAATACTCAGTACTACAGTACTACACAGTAGTGTACACTTAAATAGAAATCAGCTGAGTTGTTTTCTTTATGAAACTAAGTCAGTTAATCTGTGCACATTTATATTGTATTAATTACACCTGCACTTTGTCATAAATCTCAACACATTTGAACCACAAAAGTGATGTGTCTCTAACACACACACGCGCACACACACACACACACACACTTCACTTTATACTAGGCAGTGTGGGTGAAGTGTCTTGCCTAAGGACACAACAACAGTTTGTTGACTCTGACCAGACTCTACCTGTGAGTGTGTGAGATGTGATGGGATCAGACTTTGACAAACCGACGTGGCCACAAACAAGACGCGACATCTGCTGCTCTACGTTCACATTTCATTTTATTATGATGGACACATCCCCCCCCCCCGTGTTGTGTGTCCAGCAGGAGGTGCAGTCTGAAAACCTGCAGGTGTTTCTCAGAATTCGACCGTTCACTTCGGCCGAGAGCGACAGCGGAGACACACAGGTACAAATATTACAAATACTACTCCTGCATTTAATACTACAACTACTATAGGTACAAATTCTACTCCTGTATTTAATACTGCGACTACTATAGTACAAATACTACTCCTATATTTAATACTACGACTACTATAGGTACAAATACTGTTACTGCATTTAATCCTTTCCTCGTGCTCGTGCTGTGACCTGGTTCTTGTCAGGACTGTGTGGCGATCGAGGGGTCGGACACTGTGATCCTCAAAGCTCCAAGAACCAACAAGTCTCTGCCTCAGACGGGCCAAAGGTTCAGCTTCACCCAGGTACGACCTCCCCCTCCCCAGACGCCTCCCCAGACGCCTCCCCTGTCTGTCCTCACCTGTCTCACCCGTCTCACCCGCCTCACCCTGTCTCACCCGTCTCACCTGTCTCACCCTGTCTCACCCGTCTCACCTGTCTCACCCGTCTCACCCGTCTCACCTGCCTCACCGTCTCACCCGCCTCACCCGTCTCACCCGTCTCACCTGTCTCACCCGCCTCACCCGTCTCACCTCACCCGTCTCACCCGCCTCACCCGTCTCACCTGTCTCACCTGTCTCACCCGCCTCACCTGTCTCACCTGTCTGTGTGCAGGTGTTCAGTCCGGACTCGTCTCAGAGGGCCGTGTTCGAAGGCTCCGTTCGTTCTCGTGTTCGTGACGTTCTGGACGGAGGAAACTGTTTGGTCTTCACATACGGAGTAACCAACGCCGGAAAGACCTTCACCTTCCTCGGTCAGGCCTGGTCTAGTCCTGATCTAGTCCTGGTCTAGTCCTGGTCTAGTCCTGGTCTAGTCCCTGGTCTAGTCCTGGTCTAGTCTGGTCTAGTCCTGGTCTAGTCTCTAGTCTAGACTCTGGTCTAGTCTGGTCTAGTCCTGGTCTAGTCTCTGGTCTAGTCTGGTCTAGTCTCTGGTCTAGTCTCTGGTCTAGTCTCTGGTCTAGTCTCTGGTCTAGTCCTGGTCTAGTCTCTAGTCTAGTCTCTGGTCTAGTCCTGGTCTAGTCTCTAGTCTAGTCTCTGTTCTAGTCCTGGTCTAGTCTCTGGTCTGCTCCTGGTCTGGTCTCTGGTCTAACCCCGCTCTTGTCTCTGGTCTTGTGTGTGGTTTCAGGTCCGGACCATGACCTGGGGCTCCTGCCTCGGTCTCTGGCTGTGATCTTTAACAGTCTGGAGGGTCGTCTTTACTCTCGCTGTGACCTGAAGCCTCTGAGGTGCAGAGATTACACCAGACTGACCCCAGACCAGCAGAACCTCGAGAGCGCCACCAAGAGGACGCTCCTGAAGCTGTTCAAAGAGGTACCACACCATTCAGCCTGTGTGGGCTTTGGTCTGGGTTTAGTCCTGGTTTAGTCCTGGTTTAGTCCTGGTTCTGACCTGTTTTTCTCTCCACAGACGGACAAAAGCCTGACCTCGGGGAAGTCCACGTTTCTGGACGGTTGGTTCTTTTCTTTTGTTGTTTTTCATGCTTGGCTACAGAGTCTGGTTGGAGTTTAGGCTCTGGGGACCTTTTGGGTAACTGTTTGGTGACCATGACTGCTGAAGGTGTGAGATGTTTGTGATTTGTAGGTTCTAACGTGACGGACTCGAGCCTCAGCAGCTCCTCTGAACACGACTCCTTTGTCCTGGACGTGGACGACTCAGTCAAGTTCTCCGTTTGGGTTTCCTTCTGCGAAATCTACAACGACAACATCCATGACCTGCTTGAGCACGTACGCACCAAACCACACCATCCACACTCAGGACACTTCTATCACACTCACGACTCTTCAGTTTCAATCTGAGTCTGGCTCCAGCACAGATGTTCTGTTGCAGATCTCAGCAGCTCTTGAGGAGTTTCTAAATTCATGTTGTTGAATAATGAGGCTCTGAATACAGAAGGGAAATGAGGAAGAACTTTGGACCATTGCAAACGTTCAAATGAACTCGTTTAGTTTTTCATGTTTTAAGACACTGAAAATCTGGTACAGAGACTTTAAAGCTGCTAGAGGAGTTTTTATTCCACACACATCGTGCTCCAGGAGCATTCACACGTCCCAGTGTCACTGAACTCACCTGTGCTGCCTTCAGGTTCCACATGGACATCAGAAGAGAACAGTGCTGCGTCTGTCACAGGACGTCAAGGGGAACTCCTTCATCAAAGGTAAAACCCAGAATCACATTTAAACTTTTATTTGAGATTTCACACGAGTGGAAAACAACTGATCAGGATTTAAGAGCGGAATCATTCTGCCACATGTACTTCTGTAATCTCATGTTCTGATGTTCCTCATCACAAACCTCAAGACGTTCTAGAGGTTCTCCTCCATGCATTTGTAATACCCCAGAGCAGAACTTACCCTCTTTAGTACCCCACACGGAAATACCCCAGACCAGTACAGTACTCACCCCATTCACATGCCCCGTGTGTCTGTGTCTGTGTGTGTGTGTCCGTGTGTGTATCTGTTTGTGTGTGTGTGGTGTGTGTCCGTGTGTGTGTGTGTGTGTGTGTGTGTCCGTGTGTGTGTGTGTGTGTGTGTGTGTGTGTCCGTGTGTGTGTGTGCGTCAGACCTGCGCTGGGTTCAGGTGAACAGTTCTGACGAGGCCTACAGAGTCATGAAGATCGGCAAGAAGAACCAGAGCATCTCAGCCACTCGACTCAACCAACTCTCCAGCAGAAGGTACACAACACACACACAACGCACAACACACACACACACACAGACGCTCATTCACTTATTCACACACTCTTTGTGTGTGTGTGTGTATAACTCTGTGTGTGTTGTGTGTTTTTAGTCACAGTATCTTCAGTATCAGACTGATGAAGATCGATGATGTGGGAGTACCTCGAGTCGTGTCCATCAGCGAGTGAGTCTCTCTCTCCAGATCTTCACACGGACCTGACTCCTGTTCCTCACGCGGACCTGACCCCTGTTCCTCACGCGGACCTGACTCCTGTTCCTCACGCGGACCTGACCCCTGTTCCTCACGCGGACCTGACTCCTGTTCCTCACGCAGACCTGACTCCTGACTGTGAGAGCAGGCCTCAGTGAGCTTCATGTGACTGGAGCTGTGGGAGGTGTTGCCCTGGAAACACTTTATACAGGAGCCCACAGTCTGGAGAAATGCTGTTTCCTCAGAGGAAAGGTGCACTGCCCCCTGGAAGTGCCTCTGGAGATTCCTCTGCAGGTTCCTCTGCAGGTTCCTCTGCAGGTTCCTCTGCAGGTTCCTCTGCAGGTTCCTCTGGAGGTGCCTCTGGAGGTGCCTCTGGAGATTCCTCTGCAGGTTCCTCTGCAGGTTCCTCTGCAGGTTCCTCTGGAGGTTCCTCTGGAGGTTCCTCTGGAGGTTCCTCTGGAGGTTCCTCTGGAAGTGCCTGTTGGATTGAATATGCAGAATGTTCTTTACTAAACAAATCCAATGCAGTTTCAGAAGGTTCTTCAGCTCAGGATTTTGTGTTTGTGGAGATGTTGGTGGAGATGTTGGTGGAGATGTTGGTGGAGATGTTGGTGGAGATGTTGGTGGAGATGTTGGTGGAGATGTTGGTGGAAATGTTGGTGGAGATGTTGGTGGAGATGGGACGGTGGAGATGTTGTGGAGATGGGACGGTGGAGATGTGAAGGTGGAGATGTTGTGGAGACTCAGGGACTTGTGTCTTCGTGTCTCAGACCTTCAGGGTTTGAGTCCAGAGGTTTGATGTTTGACGTTCTGCTGTTAGAACAAGAGACGATATGATTTAACTTCTTGGGTTCTTTTTAAAGACAATGCAGTAAAGTGTATTTACCTTGTTGACATGTTTCGGCTGCTGCTGCATCTTCAGAACTGTCACCGGTGTTGGTGTTGACGTGTCGTATATCAGCTGTTGTTACTTCCTGTAGGTGTGGTCAACCTGATGGACCTGCAGGTCGCTCAGACTGACCACGCCTCCCGTCGCCCGGTGTGTCTGGAGGAGGGTGTCCCAGGTGTGTGAAAGGAGGAACGCGCCGTCGTCACGGTTAATTCTGTCCGTGCCTCGTTTCCTGATTTCAATGTCCTCCTTGATCCAGCGTTTGAACTTGTTGTTTTCTGATCCGATGACCCGAGCCCCGTCCCGATCCATAATGTGGTTGTTCCTTTTACAGTGTCTGATGTGGCGGATTTTAGGTTTTCCTGTTCTGCTTTGTCTTTTTGTTCTGGTGAGTCTCCCTGACGTTTCCTTTTCGCATTCCTTTTGGTGTTCCTTTTTTCGGATGTGAAATGCTCGGCCTGTTTCCCCTATGTATGATTTATTGCATGATTTGCATTGAATTTCGTAGATGGCATTGCATTTTTGTTCTTGTGGGATTTTGTCCTTGGGGTGTACGAGTTGTTGGCGGAGTTTTGTGTATGGTTTTACTACAGTGCTTATGTTGTGTTTTTTCATGTCTCTCTGGATGGGTTCGGTTATTCCTCTGATGTTCAGTAGTGTGACTATGTTTTTATCCTGCTGCCCTGTGTTCAATTGTTGTTTTTTTCCGGGGTTTGTTGGTTTTATTGATAACTTGTTGTTTATGGCCCAGCTGGGATATTGACATTGTTTGAGTGCTTGTATGATGTGTCTCTCCTCTTCCTCCCTGTCGGTCTGTGATGAGTGTGGCCCGTTCCAATAATGTTCTTACTACTGAAAGTTTGTGTGCAGTGGGATGTTGGGATGTCCAGAGTAGATATTGGTCAGTGTGTGTAGGTTTCCGGTATACAGTAATTTTGATGCTGCCGTCTGCGATGTGGTGGATTTTAATGTCCAGAAAAGATATGGCTCCGTCTTTCTCCTCCTCGTGTGTGAATTGAATGTTTCCTGTGTCGTCTTGTGTGTTGAGATGGTCTGTGAGTTCTTGCGTGTGTCCTTGCTGTATTTTTTCCAGGATGTCATCTACGTAGCGTTTCCAAAAGGTTAAAGGGCATTGTGGTGGTGCGGTGTTGAAAGCTTTCTGTTCCAGGTCCTCCATGAAAAAACTGCTCATTATTGCTGATAGTGGATCTCCCATTGCGAACCCCTCTTTCTGTCTGTAAATTATGCTGTTGTACTGAAAATATGTAGATTTGGCCACGAAACTTAATAATTGTGTAATGTCATCAACTGTTAGATTTGTGCGTTTTTTGAGTGTTCTGTCCTTTTTAAGTTTTTCCTGTACTATGCGTAGTGTGACATCCACGGGTGTTTTAGTGAACAGTGATATGACGTCGTGTGATATGAGTATTTCATCCGGTGCTATTGTAATGTTTTTTAGTTCCTGTGCCTATTGTTTCGCATTCTTGCAGTGGAATTTAGTTTGACCGATGATTGGTTTTATTATTTCGACCAGGGCTTTGGATAAATTGTATGTTACCGAACCTATGCTATCGACTATCGGGCGGAGCGGCGTGTCTGTTTTGTGGGATTTTCGGGGTTCCGTAAATGCGCGGGGTGATGCTGGCTGTAGGGATTAAATCGTCGTATGCGTCTCGGGTGATTTTTTTTCTGTTCTGATAGGGGTTTGAGTAACGTTTTGAGGGTTCGTTTCTTTTCCTCTGTCGGATTCTTTCTTATGATTTCGTAGGTGTCGGTGTCTGCGAGTAGTGCTTCCATTTTATGTTCGTATGTTTTCGTGTCCAATATGACTGTTGTCCTGCCTTTATCTGCGGGTAAAATAATGATTGTGTTGTCTTTTTTCATGTGACTAATGGCTTTCCTTTCCTTCTTGGTTATATTGCTTTTCGGTCATTTGGCGGTTTTTAGAATCCCTGTCACTGTGTTGCGTAAATCTGCTTTCTGTCCCTGGTTTGGTGTTTTTTGGCATGTTAATTCCGTGGCTAATATGTATTCTTCTATGGGTATTTTGTTAGGGGTGGTGGCAAAGTTAAGTCCTCGTGCAAGTACGTTTGTTTCTGTTTCTGTGATTTTTCGCTGAGTTAAATTGCATACCCATTTATCTTTATTTTTTAGTGAGGTTTCGATTTTACGGTGTTTTTTCTCTATTAGTAATTTTAACTTCCTAACGTGGCGGTCCTTAGTTGTTTTAAATCCTAATTCGTATGTTTTTTCTAAATGTTTGCTAACCTGTCGCTGTGCCTCTTCTTCCATGGGGAAAAGCCGTCTGTATTTCTCGCTTTCGTCCATTAGTTCTCATTCAATGTTTTTCTGTTTATTGATAGTGATGCGAATCCTTTCATTTAATAGTGCTTTTTTGGCCTTATTAACAATTTGTTTTGCATTATGGGTTGGGATCGGGGTCTTGATGTTAATACTAGCTGGCGTGATGTTCTCGTCTCTGCATCGGAGGTTGAAGCGTAGGTGGTTATTATAGCGGGCGCGCGCCTTTTCCAGCCTCTCCAAATGGCGAAGTGCTTTGACACCTCTTTGTCCAAATCTTCTTCATATTAAGCCAATGATGTTCATTTTGTCTTCTTATATACTTTAACTTCTTAGGTTCTTTTTAAAGACAATGCAGTAAAGTGTATTTACCTTGATGACATGTTTCGGCTGTTAGCTGCAAGCCATCTTCAGAACTGTCACCGGTGTTGGTGGTGACGTGTCGTATATCAGCTGTTGTTACTTCCTGTAGGCGTGGTCAGACCTGATGGACCTGGCAGGTGGCTCAGACTGACCACGCCTCCCGTGTCACCAACACCGGTGACAGTTCTGAAGATGGCTTGCAGCTAGCAGCCGAAACATGTCAACAAGGTAAATACACTTTACTGCATTGTCTTTAAAAAGAACCTAAGAAGTTAAAGTATATAAGAAGACAAAATGAACATCATTGGCTAAAGAGACGGTATGAGATGTTCTCCTGAGTGACTCTCATTGGTCTGGTTTGGCTCAGGTTGACTCTCTTTGGTCTGGTTTGGTCTGGTTTGGCTCAGGTTGACTCTCTTTGGTCTGGTTTGGCTCAGGTTGACTCTCTTTGGTCTGGTTTGGCTCAGGTTGACTCTCTTTGGTCTGGTTTGGCTCAGGTTGGCCCTGTGTGACCTGGCTGGCTCGGAGCGATGTTCTCGGACTCAGAACTGTGGAGAACGTCTGAAGGAGGCGGGAAACATCAACAGTTCACTGCTCACGCTCAGCAAGTGCATCAGCGCCATGAGAAGCAAGTGAGTACTACAAAAACTACTGCAAATACTTCTAAAAATACTGCAAATACTACAAATACTTCTGTAGGCTCCTGTCTTCCTGATGCCCTGTTCTTGGTGTTCTTCTCCACATTGTTCTCACTGTTCTCCTGAGGTTCAAGCAGCACATTCCTCCATGTTCTAACTCCTCGTTCTTCTCCTCTCGTTCTCCTCAGGTTTCAGCAGCACGTTCCGTTTCGAGAGTCCAAACTCACTCACTTCTTGCAGTTCTTCTTCTGTGGCTCGGGGTCAGGAAAGGTCACGATGGTCGTGAACATCAACCAGAGCTCGTCCAGTTTAGACGAGACTCTCAACGTGCTCAAGTTCTCCGCTCTGGCCCAGAAGGTACTACTACTACTGCAAATACTACTACTACTACTCCTGTTGTTGTTAGAACTCACAAAACTCCAAACTCAGACGTGAGGCTGTTGTGGAGGTGGAGGTTCCATGTTCTGGTGGAGGTCTCATGTTCTACCTCAGGTTCCTCAGGTCTGGATCCCATCAAGTCCCACTGACAGAACTGAGCTGAACCTTTAGAACATTTCCTGATTGTAGAAGGACCTGGATCAGAGCGAGTAGAGCGCAGGCATTTGCTACGTTTCCATGAGAGCTCTAACTCAGAATAAAAATCATTTAATTTTGAATCAAACTGAATTTGTCCTTAAAAAGTTCATGTAAACACTGAATTCTTAATGAAAATGTTGATTGTGATTTAATCTTAATAGTGAAGTAAATGTTTGTTTTCTTCAGATTTTAAATCTGAGTGAATTAGTTTCCTGGATCATGTTTCACGTTTCTTCTTGTTAAAATGCTGCTGGTGCTTCATGCTCGTCGTGTCGTCCTTCTGACGCGTTGATCTGGACGATCCGGCTCCTCCAGTCCTGTCTTGGGACTTTGATCCACGTCTCTTTGGATTTGTAAGCGGGATGTGGGAGTGGGCTGAGGTTTTGTCTTCTTCCTCCTTCTCCGACGTAAATCTGTTGGTGTCTCTGTCCAATCAGAACCCCCCCCCCAGACGCTGAGACACATTCAATAAAAAACATTTAACCAGTTTAACATAAAACACCAACTCAACCTCAACCTCGACTTCAGGACTCGTGTGAGGAGCGTTTGACCTCTGACCCCCACAGGATGAGCTCATGTGACCCAGAGTTGAGTTTGACCTTTGACCTTGTCCCTGTGGTCCAGGTGGTGGTCCTGACCGCGCGGCCCGCTCCCCTGGACGCCGCCCCCCACAGGTCGGCCATGGAACTGTCCCTGATCATCGACGAGGCGGAAACACGACGCTTCAGAGGGAGGAAGAGCTCCATGGTCTGGGAGCGCAGCCTGGAGGACGTGCTGGAGACGGACGACGGCCACAGCGGTACGGGAGGGCATCCGGGCTAATCCAGGAGCGCGGGAGGGCATCCGGGCTAATCCAGAGCCTGTTGGTCCGGATGCCCTCCCATGGTCCCTCATGTGTTTTGCTGCAGATTTGACTGAAGAAGAAGAAGAAGAGGAGGAGGAAGAGCAGAGTGAGATGGAGGACACAGTCCTGGAGGCAGCAAACACAACAATGGAGAACACACAGGTAACACACACACACACACAGGTAACACACACACACACACACGCACAGGTAACACACACGCACAGGTAACACACACACACACACAGGTAACACACACACACAGGTAACACACACACAGGTAACACACACAAACACACACAGGTAACACACACACACACACACACAGGTAACACACACACACAGGTAACACTAACACACACACACACAGGTAACACTAACACACACACACAGGTAACACACACACACAGACACACACAGGTAACACACGCACAGGTAACACACACACACGCACAGGTAACACACACGCACAGGTAACACACACGCACAGGTAACACACACGCACAGGTAACACACACACACAGGTAACACACACACACAGGTAACACACACACACAGGTAACACACACACACAGGTAACACACACAACACAGGTAACACACACACACAGGTAACACACACACACAGGTACACACACACACACAGGTACACACACACACACACAGGTACACACACACACACACACACAGGTAACACACACACAGGTACACACACACACACAGGTAAACACACACACACGCACAGGTAACACACACACACAGGTAACACACACATACACACACACAGGTAACACACACATACACACACACAGGTAACACACACATACACACACACAGGTAACACACACACACACACAGGTAACACACAACACACACAGGTAACACACACACACACAGGTACACACACACACACACACACAGGTAACACACACACACACACACACAGGTAAACACACACACAGGTAACACACACACACAGGTAACACACACACACACAGGTAACACACACACACACACAGGTAACACACACTGTATTTTCCTGTTTTTTGTCTCAGTATCAGCGTGTCACCACGGTAACACTGATACGAAGATTATGTGTTCGTGCTGAACCGTTTGGGTTCGGTACAGGGCTGTGCACGAACAAGTGTGCGCACTTTGTGTGTGTTTCAGAGCGTGCGTCGTGTCGTGTGTTCCAGAGCGTGTGTGGTGTGTTTCAGAGTGTGTGTGGTGTGTGTTTCAGAGTGTGCGTCGTGTGTTTCAGAGTGTGTGTGGTGTGTTTCAGAGTGTGTGTGGTGTGTTTCAGAGCGTGCGTGTCGTGTGTTTCAGAGCGTGTGTCGTGTGTTTCAGAGCGTGTGTCGTGTGTTTCAGAGTGTGTGTCGTGTGTTTCAGAGTGTGCGTCGTGTGTTTCAGAGTGTGTGTGGTGTGTGTTTCAGAGTGTGCGTCGTGTGTTTCAGAGTGTGTGTGGTGTGTTTCAGAGTGTGTGTGGTGTGTGTTTCAGAGTGTGTGTCGTGTGTTTCAGAGTGTGCGTCGTGTGTTTCAGAGTGTGTGTGGTGTGTTTCAGAGCGTGCGTGTCGTGTGTTTCAGAGCGTGCGTCGTGTGTTTCAGAGTGTGTGTCGTGTGTTTCAGAGTGTGTCGTGTGTTTCAGAGTGTGTCGTGTGTTTCAGAGTGTGTCGTGTGTTTCAGAGCGTGCGTCGTGTGTTTCAGAGTGTGCGTCGTGTGTTTCAGAGTGTGCGTCGTGTGTTTCAGAGCGTGCGTGTCGTGTGTTTCAGAGTGTGCGTCGTGTGTTTCAGAGTTCGTGTCGTGTGTTTCAGAGTGTGTGTGGTGTGTTTCAGAGTTCGTGTCGTGTGTTTCAGAGTGTGTCGTGTGTTTCAGAGTGTGTCGTGTGTTTCAGAGTGTGCGTCGTGTGTTTCAGAGTGTGTGGTGTGTTTCAGAGCGTGCGTGGTGTGTTTCAGAGTGCGTGTCGTGTGTTTCAGAGCGTGTGTCGTGTGTTTCAGAGTGTGTCGTGTGTTTCAGAGTGTGCGTCGTGTGTTTCAGAGCGCGCGTCGTGTGTTTCAGAGGTGTGTGTGGTGTGTTTCAGAGTGTGTCGTGTGTTTCAGAGTGTGTGCGCTCTGAGGTTGGTGTTGGAGGCTCAGATCAGAGAAGAAGTCAGCGCAGAGTTTATGGAACTGTTCAACAAAATGGAGAAAGACTACAGGTACTACTACTGCAAATACTATTACTACGGTCCTGTTTCAGCCCTGTTTCAGCCCTGTTTCAGCCCTGTTTCAGCCCTGTTTCAGCCCTGTTTCAGCCCTGTTTCAGTCCTGTTTCAGTCCTGTTTCAGCCCTGTTTCAGCCCTGTTTCAGCCCTGTTTCAGTCCTGTTTCAGCCCTGTTTCAGCCCTGTTTCAGTCCTGTTTCAGTCCTGTTTCAGCCCTGTTTCAGCCCTGTTTCGGTCCTGTTTCAGTCCTGTTTCCTGTTTCAGCCCTGTTTCAGCCCTGTTTCAGCCCTGTTTCAGCCCTGTTTCAGCCCTGTTTCAGCTCTGTTTCAGTCCTGTTTCAGTCCTGTTTCAGCTCTGTTTCAGCCCTGTTTCAGCCCTGTTTCAGCCCTGTTTCAGTCCTGTTTCAGCCCTGTTTCGGTCCTGTTTCAGCCCTGTTTCAGTCCTGTTTCAGTCCTGTTTCAGTCCTGTTTCAGTCCTGTTTCAGCCTGTCTGTGGTCCTCAGTGAGCGTTTGGAGAAGGAGCGTGAGATCCTGGAGGAGCGTGCAGAGAAACGGGTCGAGATCCTCAAGAACCTCGTGCACCGAACTGTGGACCTGTCAGCTCTGGAGCGACAGGTGAGGACAGGTGCAGACAGGTGCTATGGGCCCAGAGGAGGCACCTGATCCACGAGCACTCTGACTTATCACATGCACACTCTGACCCTGTGTATGTTGTGTGTGTGTGTCTGTGTGTGTCTGTGTGTGTGCATGTTGTGTGTGTTGTGTGTGTTGTATGTGTGTTTGTGTGTGTGTGTGTGTGTGTGTGTGTGTCTGTGTCTGTGTGTAGGACACAGAGGGAGTTATGTTGGAGAGCATCATCAGCGCTCAGGACCTGGAGAAGATCAGAGAAGAACAGAACAACACAAAAGGTCTCAACAACACACACACACATACACACACAGACACAGAATACACTCACACACACACACAAAATATACACACACACATACACACACACAGACACAGAATACACACACATACACACAAAATACACTCACACACACAGAATATACACACACAGAATACACACGCACACACAAAATATACACACACACACACAAAATATACACACACTCACACACACAAAATATACACACACACAAAATATACACACACTCACACACACAAAATATACACACACAGAATACACACACACTCACAGAATATACACACGCACACACAAAATACACTCACACACACAGAATACACTCACACACACACAAAATATACACACACAGAATACACACACTCACAGAATACACACACACTCAGAATATACACACGCACACACAGAATACACTCACTCACACACAAAGAATACACACACACAGACACAGAATACACACACAGATACTCTGACTCTCTGTTGTGTGACTCTGTTGTGTGTCTGTTGTGTGACTCTGTTGTGTGTCTGTTGTGTGACTCTGTTGTGTGACTCTGTTGTGTGTCTGTTGTGTGACTCTGTTGTGTGACTCTGTTGTGTGTCTGTTGTGTGTCTGTTGTGTGACTCTGTTGTGTGACTCTGTTGTGTGACTCTGTTGTGTGTCTGTTGTGTGACTCTGTTGTGACTCTGTTGTGTGTCTGTTGTGTGACTCTGTTGTGTGACTTTGTTGTGTGTCTGTTGTGTGTCTGTTGTGTGACTCTGTTGTGTGACTCTGTTGTGTGACTCTGTTGTGTGTCTCTGTTGTGTGACTCTGTTGTGTGACTCTGTTGTGTGACTCTGTTGTGTGTCTGTTGTGTGACTCTGTTGTGTGTCTCAGAGTTGCAGATGCTGCGTGTGCAGAGGCAGGAGACTCTGGACCAACTGCAGGCAGCCCGACAGGTGAGACCCTGCCACCTGAGCACTGTTCGTGTGTGGTGACAGGGGATAATGTAATTCTGTGTGTGTGTGTGTTGTGTGTCAGTGTGTGATATAAACATGTGTTGTGCGTCCGTGTGCAGCAGGTTTCTGAACTCGCTGAACTCTGTCGACAAAAAGACGACGTCATCAACAAACTCACCTGCACCTTAGACCAGACCGTGGAGGACGCCACCAGAGAGGTACAGGGACTGGGACCTGGACTGGGACCTGGACTGGGACCTGGACTGGGACCTGGACTGGAACTGGACTGGGACTGGACCGGGACTGGGACTGGAACTGGACTGGGACTGGACTGGAACTGGACTGGGACTGGGACAGGGACTGGACTGGAACTGGACTGGGACTGGGACAGGGACTGGACTGGAACTGGACTGGGACTGGGACAGGGACTGGACTGGGACTGGACTGGAACTGGGACTGGACCGGGACTGGACTAGACAGGGACTGGACTGGGACAGGGACTGGACAGGGACTGGAACTGAACTGGACTGGACCGGACCGGGACTGGACTGGGACTGGACTGGACTGGGACAGGGACTGGACCGGGACTGGACTGGGACTGGATTGGGACTGGATTGGGACTGGATTGGACCGGGACTGGACCCGGGACTGGACCCGGGACTGGACCCGGGACTGGACCTGGTTTAGGATGAGGGTGGACCTAATGGATCCTTGATGTTGTGTCTCAGCGTTCTGTGGTGGAGTCCGTGCGAGCAGAACTGATGAAGCTCCAACAGAACTGCTCCTGTCTGAGGAGACAAGGAGACGAGACGAGGGAGCGAGGAGACGAGGAGAGGAAACGGCCGAGAGGCTCCAGTGAAGACGAAACGGCTCCGGCCAAAAAGAGAGGTGACTACAACTCCCAGAATGCACCTGAGCAGCAGCCTCAGACACACACACTCATTCACACTTTCACAACAGATTATTTTTCCAGACCAAGGTTTAGTTTGTCTTCATCACAGCTTCATGTGACTCTGAGGAGCACGGAGAACATGAGGAACACGAGAAACACGAGGAGCACTAGGAACTTGAAGAGCCCGAGGAACACGAGGAGCACTAGGAACACGAGGAACATGAGGAGCCCGAGGAACACGAGGAGCCCGAGGAACACGAGGAGCACGAGGAACACGAGGAACACGAGGAACACGAGGAACACGAGGAACACTAGGAACACGAGGAACACGAGGAGCACAAGGAACATGAGGAACATGAGGAGCACTAGGAACTTGAAGAGCCCGAGGAACATGAGGAACACGAGGAGCACGAGGAACACGAGGAACATGAGGAACACGAGGAGCCCGAGGAACACGAGGAGCACAAGGAACACGAGGAACATGAGGAGCACTAGGAACTTGAAGAGCCCGAGGAACATGAGGAGCCCGAGGAACACGAGGAACACGAGGAACACGAGGAACACTAGGAACACGAGGAACACGAGGAACACTAGGAACACGAGGAACACTAGGAACATGAGGAACATGAGGAACATGAGGAACACGAGGAACACGAGGAACACGAGGAGCCCGAGGAACATGAGGAACATGAGGGCTCAAACTATCACAGAGGAACAAAAATTTCAACCTGGGTATGAAAAAAGAATCTTTTAAAGTAAATCACTGCGAGAAGGTCCAAGGATGAGTCCTGGTCCATGTAGGAGTTCAGGACTCTCTCAGGTGTGGTCCTGACTCAGACCTGGTTTCGGTGTGGTCCTGGTCCAGGTCTGGTCCTGACTCAGATCTTGTCTGGTTCCTCAGTGCTGTTGGAGGAGGAGATCTGGAGACTTCATGAAGAGAACGACCAAAAAGAACATCTCATCTGTGAACTGAGACAACAGAGAGACCAGGAGGAGACCAGGCTGAACCAGACTATAACCAGACTACAGGAGGAGGAGACCAGGCTGAACCAGACTATAACCAGACTACAGGAGGAGGAGACCAGGCTGAACCAGACTGTAACCAGACTACAGGAGGATCTTCAGCAGAGGAACCAGGAGGAGACCAGACTGAACCAGACTATAACCAGACTACAAGAGGATCTTCAGCAGAGGAACCAGGAGGAGACCAGGCTGAACCAGACTATAACCAGACTTGAGAAGGACCTGGAGCAGAGGCAGGAGGAGCTGGAGTGTGTGAGGAAGCAGCAGGTGGAGCTGGAGACCAAAGTCCAGGAGCAAACAGGTAAAACACAAAACATGTGACACACTCAGGTCTGACTCCAGGTCATGTGTGCATCGGGTTGTGTGTTCATGTGTGTGTTGTGTGTTCATGTGTGTGTTCGTGTGTTGTGTGTTCATGTGTGTGTTGTGTGTTCATGTGTGTGTTGTGTGTTCATGTGTGTGTGTTGTGTGTTCATGTGTGTGTTTTGTGTTCATGTGTTGTGTTGTGTGTTCATGTGTGTGTTGTGTGTTCATGTGTGTGTGTTGTGTGTTGCAGAGTCAGGTTGTGTGTTCATGTGTGTGTTCATGTGTGTGTTGTGTGTTCATGTGTGTGTGTTGTGTGTTGCAGAGTCAGGTTGTGTGTTCATGTGTGTGTTGTGTGTTCATGTGTGTGTGTTGCAGAGTCAGGTTGTGTGTTCATGTGTGTGTGTTGTGTGTTGCAGAGTCAGGTTGTGTGTTCATGTGTGTGTTGTGTGTTCATGTGCTGTGTGTGCATGTGTGTGTTGTGTGTTCATGTGTGTGTGTTGTGTGTTCATGTGTGTGTTGTGTGTTCATGTGTGTGTGTTGTGTGTTGCAGAGTCGGGTTGTGTGTTCATGTGTGTGTTGTGTGTTCATGTGTGTGTTGTGTGTTCATGTGTGTGTTGTGTGTTCATGTGTGTGTTGTGTGTTCATGTGTGTGTGTTGTGTGTTGCAGAGTCGGGTTGTGTGTTCATGTGTGTGTTGTGTGTTCATGTGCTGTGTGTTCATGTGTGTGTTGTGTGTTCATGTGCTGTGTGTTCATGTGTGTGTTGTGTGTTCATGTGTGTGTTGTGTGTTCATGTGTGTTGTGTGTGTGTGTGTTGTGTGTGTGTTGCAGAGTCGGGTTGTGTGTTCATGTGTGTGTGTTGTGTGTTCATGTGTGTGTTCATGTGTGTGTGTTTGTGTGTTGTGTGTGTTCATGTGTGTGTTGTGTGTTCATGTGTGTGTTGTGTGTTCATGTGTGTGTGTTGTGTGTTGCAGAGTCGGGTTGTGTGCGCTGTGACTCGGTGTTCGAGTCGTTAGAGTCTGAACAAAGGGAAACGTCTCGACTCGACAAAGAAAACAAAGCTCTGGTCAAAGGAATGTTCCAGCTGCAGAACCAGGTACATGACCACGCCCCCGACCCTTTGACTCCGCCCCCTGACACTCTGACCACGCCCCCTGACACTCTGACCACATTCCCTGACACTCTGACTACGCCTCCCGACACTCTGACCACGCCTCCCGACACTCTGACCACGCCCCCTGACCCTTTGACCACACTCTCGTGGACAGAGCACCCCCTCGCGGTCGGACAGAGCGCCCCCTCGCGGTCGGGGTCAGGCTGACGCTCTTCTGTTCTCAGGTGACCGACCTGCAGAAGCAGCTGCGCTCTGAGAGTGATCGCTCTGACAGCCTATCAGACGAGCTCACCTGCACCAAGACCCGCCTCCACAGCCTCCAGAGCCAATCAGACGAGAGAGAGCACTCCCTCCTCCAGCTCCGACAACAAATGGACAAAGACAGACAAGACTCCAAGGTTAGTCCTGATTTGGTCCTGATTTAGTCCTGATTTAGTCCTGGTTTAGTCCTGGTTTAGTCCTGGTTTAGTCCTGGTTTAGTCCTGGTTTAGTCCTGGTTTAGACCTGGTTTAGACCTGGTTTAGACCTGGTTTAGACCGGGTTTAGACCGGGTTTAGACCGGGTTTAG